AACATAAAGTCATACAAACAAGTAATAATAAAAAAGGAATCCTTTATTGCCTTTTGCCATAGTCTTCAATAAAAATTAAAATTTTTGAATGCTCATAACTCAAAATTTGTCATTAGTAATGTTGATAACTACATTGAGGCACTAAAATATTTTCGTTTCTCCTACAAGGTAGCATCACTATCTAGTTTGCTGTGCCATTTTGTAGACAAAATTACACCATTTCAATATAAATAATTACTCACTGCTACTTTCCACTTTCCTTTACTCTTTCTACCTCCTTTTTCTCTCTCTCTCTCTTACAGGTAGATATCAAAAGAGGCTGTTCTTAGGAAACAGTTTAGATCAGGACCTCTAGTATATCAGCTAATGGCAAAGACAGAATAGAAAAAATACAATTATTTTGAAAAAAGCATAATTCAACAAAAGCTAGTCATATAGATCTAGTAGGTCTAATAATCAATATTAAAGATAAATCTAATAGATAATAAAGCTAAAGGCCTAAACTAATACAGAGTCTAAGTTCACAAATTCATTGATAGTTAACCATGTATGCTGGATAATTTTGAGCATCTTGATAAACTACAAAAATTGATGGATCAGCAACATTATTAACAGTAGCATCAAAAGTAACATTAGGATCAATTTGAGGATTCTTTGGAGGAGGAGCTAACATTGAACTATTACCAACAGTGAATTCACCAGTAAGAACAAGAGTATAGTACATGTGACGAACACCATTAGCATCAGGTGATGTGTAACTATGAGAGTATGATGCATCACGAGCAAAATACACTCCTTTACCATACACAACAGCTATAATGATACAATAATATAATATAAATGTATGTCATTTGTTTTACCATTTTTTCCTGCAAAGTTACGATCAAAACCACGTGTGTTAATCTTATCCAGTGTATCAGGACTGGTACCATGCCAGAGCAGTCGTTCATTTTGATGACCATCAGGATTGTGTTTTTCCATTTCTTTCTTCCTAACTGCATATTGCTTGTACAAGGTCGGGTTCTGTAGCCTTTGGATGCTAAGAATCTTAGCATATTTTCCAGCCATTGTTGTATTGAAAGCTGTCTCAGCAGTTTTGTATTCAGGACCAGTAGCTAGGAGTGTAACAAAATGAAACCGCTTTTCTTTCCCTTGAGAGTCCTGAGGCATTGGATCCCAGTTATCAGGTTGTTCTGTAAAATTAAAAAAATAAAATTATAAAAATAATACAATATTGGATACCTTGTGCTATTGTGAGATCTAGACGCTTAACAATAGCAGTTTTATCAGTTACTTTATCTCTTTCCTCCATTTTCCCAAAATTTATAAAAAAATTGTCATCTGCAGCATCATAAATTTTTTTCTTGTTTTGAAAGGCTTGCTCAATTTCATAATTTAGTATTTCACCATACTCTTCTTCTTTTTCATCATCTGGATTAATCCTTATCCAACAGACAGTTTTAGAAACTAAGGCAGCAGCAGCTTTATTTGATTGCTCTTGAGTTATAGTAGACGTCGCATCACGAATTTTATCTTTGACAAGCATAACATCTTGAAAAAATCCCTGAAGATTAACTGAATAAAGGTTAGGATCTCGATCAATCTCAATATCAACATTGTGATCTCTAGCAAATGATTCAAGCTCATACACAGTTTCATCAGAGAAAGCAGTGATACTAGGATCAGCAATTTCCTCAGTATGAAATGTTGTATCAATTGTAGACTGTAATTTCTTCTCTGCTCTTCCGACCATTGACTCTGTCTCACCGTAAATGTGAAGTGTCACTTCTGAAGCCAAAGACAGTTTGGCAAGCATTGCTGCAACAACTTCATCTTCCCCAAGATCTTCAAATTCTTCATCTTCAATATTAGGAGTCTTAATTGGTTCTGCTTCCATCTTACCAGGGTCATCATCATCACTGCTGTCACTACTAGAGGCAAATAAAGATTTAACTGCAGCTTTCATACCATTATATATATAACTCATTAAACCACCACTGGAGTCTCCAATTTTTTTAAAAGCACCAACAAAATCTTTATACAAGTGAGCTTGAAATACAATCATTCGCATTACTTTGACATGCTTTGGCTGTGATGAAATAAACTTCTGCAATGCATCAGCAATTGCTTTGGCAGCATCGGCAGGTGGAAAGTCAAAAGTTCCAGTACCAATAGCTGGAAAGGATATTGAAGAAAACCTTTTTTTTTCTGCTAGCTCTAAACACGCAAGGACAGTTTTGCTTAAATTCCTCCCACCATGAAAAGCAATGTGAAACACTTCTTTACACTTCAAACTACCAGTAGCTTTAGTAGGAACAACCTTACCCTCTTTTGCTGTTTTACCTTTAGCAACAGCACTATCACAGGCATATTGTAATGCCTGACCACCTTTCTTTAGTAATGCACCTGACACACCACGACCAACTAGTTTTAAATCTTCTTGAGTTGTATTAACAATAGCATCAGAATCATCATTTGATATGTCACCTTGCAGCAATTCTAGACTAAGACCGTGAGGAAGTGGGAAGGAGGCTGTTGATTGACTAGAAGCTTGTACTTTTTTCTGATGGGATCCAAAAGATGACGTACCATTATGATGTGAAGGGGGTGTGACAGAACTAGGAACAATGGTAGTGGAGGGGGAGCTCATATTCTTATAAACTAATTGAAATTCATTATAAATCTTCCGATCAAATATGACAAAGTGAACCAACTGAAGCGATGTTTTTCCTTGATTCTTTTGAAAGAATGATGCTGTTTCTTCCATTAATACTCTAGCCACGACATCATTTGGATACTTC